TGTGTGTGTGTGTGTACATAAACCTGTACACACACAGAGGCTGGGCACAGTGGCTTACACCTGTAATCCTAGCTCTCTCGGAGGCCTAGTCAGGAGAATACCTTGGGTTCAGGAGCTCCAGACCAGCCTGGGAAAGAGTAAGATCTTGTCTCCACTAAAAATAGAAAAATTAGCCAGGTGTGGTGGTGGGCACTGGTAGTCCCAAGCTACTTGGGAGGCTGAGGCAGGAGAATTGCTTGAACCCACGCATTTGAGGTTTCTGTGAGCTGACCTGATGCCATGGCAATCTATCCTGGGCAACAGAGTGAGGCTGTATCTAAAACAAAACAAATATACATATGTATATATGAGGCGTGTGTGTGTGCACACCTGTGTGCACACACAGATTAATCTATGGGAAGACTCTGGAACAAAATGAAACCTGCCCTGTTTTCATCTGACTAACCCAAGGCAATGATAACGATAACCTATAGTTGGCATAGTTCATATTTTGAAACTGTTAACCTATAATAGAAATTACTACATTAACCTTACAAACATTTTCCCTGAGTGGGCTCCATGTAGGCTGTTTTGGATGTTAAAGAGCATCATCGTTTTTTTATTCCTAGATGCTCACCTTGTCTGAGTTTATACAACCCAGTTCAAGAGTCTTCTCCTGTAAGCCTCATCCCTCTCTCCTAATAATGTGCTGAAAATTACTTATTTGTTAAATCCCATCAGGTTAGGAATCCCAGGCACAAAACAGTACTGCTACATGTTATATTCATAATAAGTACATGATGTTCAAATGAATGAATATTATCATATTCTTTGTATATGTTCCCCTCCCTACCCTAACTTATTATATGTATTGTAGTTTTTTGATCTGAGTTCCCTTAGAATAAGGATATTGTGCATATTCACCCAGAATCTATCATAGTACCTGGCATATAGTAGATGGCCAGCACACCATTTTTAAAGGTCTGTTTTTATGACTGGCACTTACAGGGAGGGCATCCTTTGTTCATGAAGAGTGAGGACAACTTCTAGTCACTATCATAAGTTGATCGTCACATGGGCCAGGGTAGAATGTGGACGTACTGATTCCATCTGAGTAAAGCTGAGTGGGCTCAAAGACAAACATTCCACAACCAGAAAGTGACTACTTTGGAAATATTGAGGATAAGAAGTTTTTTAAAAACGATCCTTCCAGATGATCCTGTGATACCTGGAACATGCCGATCGCTAACACTTGAGAAACTATCTAGAGCTCCACGGCAGCCTTCCTGGGTAGTCCCTGAGATTAACTTCTGAGGTTGCAGACAATTCTTGGGATTATTCTGAGAGTTGCCACAACCATTCTGTTGATAGGCAGGGATCATACCCGCTCCAGTTTCCAAATGGAGAAGTTCTTTCTTTCAGTGTGGTGGGAAATAAAAGCTGACCTGCCCAGTGGAGAGTGTAACTACAAGAGGAACCTCTGGCTTTAGGGGATTAAAATGCTCACAAGGAAAAAAGAAGGAATAGCCATCTCCTGAGTGCATTCCTGGGCTAGAGTCCCCCATCTGAGCTTCTGTGAGGGCATTTCCCACCTTGTGTGAATGGAATAGCTTTGCTCACCTGGTGGCATCTTAGTGAAACCTGCCTGAGTTGCTTTGTTCAGCCAACTAGAGCTGTGTGCGTGGGCAAGTCTTAGTGAAAGCATCAATGCCACCTTCACCCTGGGCAGAGATGATAGGCCCTCCTCCATCCCACACATCTCCCCCATCACAGAAGGACAATTTCTGGTATATACATGAAAAAGAAAAAAAAAAAAGACATTTAACTAACAGTGTGCAAGAGGAAAGCAGTTTGTTTCACAGCTTTTCACGGCCACCTTTCCCCACCGTGGACGGGCTTTCTCCTCCTCTTCTTCTTTTTCTCCTTCTCCTTCCTCTTCGTGTCTTCTCTCTAAACCAACCCTGACTATCAACCCCCGAACTAGTGCATCATTCTTGGGGATCGTGAGGATTCAACATAGTAGGGAGTTTTATGATCTTAACTTTTCCCTTGAAACATTTTCAATCTTTTTATTTTCAATCTGTATGCTCTTAGATATCAAACTTCTCGAAAATTCGTTCCAATTCTGAACGGACGTCAGTTTGAGGAAGTCATGAACCTCAAAAGTGAATGCATTTTGCTTACTGATAGCCTCCTTGTGGGGAACTTGATAAACAAGCTCCTCCAACTAATGTTGCAAAGCAATTAACAGTCCTGCTGGTTCATATGAGCGTTGTTACAATGGTGAACACAGGGTGTTTGAAACTGATGTCTCTTAACACTTTTTTGTGCTAAGGATGAAGTTCCTCAGTGGTCTCTCCCTACTGCTTTCTGCCGCATTGATTTCTCAGATCTAAAGGTTTGGGTGAGGAGCAGGGGATCTGGATTTTCACTTTTTTTCATATTCTCTGTCCAGTTTCTAATGGTCTAAGGCAATTAAAAAATCTATAGCAACTAATGGTCAGCTTAATTGTGAAGGTTCCACCAATGTTTGCAGTCTGTGCCAAGGTAAGTATATTCAGGTCTGTAATTACTTATCTATAATGAAAGCTCTGAAAAAATACAAATTTTTTCAATATGCATGGTATAAATTAATTTGATGATAAAGCTGACCTGAAATGATACAGTGCTATTTATAGTCTGTAATAGTCTTATGTAGTTTGATTCTTCAGACCTATTACTGCAGAAATATTAATATTTGATTAGGGGTGCTGTGCCAGACTTGGCTGTGCATGTTACAAGACATGAAAGATAACTTTTTAATACATGCAAAATTATGAATTCCAAAATAAATCTGGGACCAAGCATTTGGAATAAGGAATTAAAGACCTGAACTATATTGTGAAGGCAATTTTTTTTTTTTTTTTACTTACCTGCTGATGTTAAGACAAAGTCATTGAGCCATGAGAGATGATAAAGGCTTGGACATACTTTACATGGGACAACAGCCGTAGCAGAGACCTAGTTCACTCTGTTTTCAACATAAAGCAAGCGTTTGCTCACTTTTGAGTGTCCTCATTTGAACACCACTGTCCTTTGACAGAGGCATTAAAAATGAAGCTGAGCGTGATTACCAACATATTGCTTTATTTCTTGGTGGTAGTAAATTAAGGCTTTCTAGAGTCATACAGCACGCAGTGATCTGAACATTAGAATTTAAAAAAACAATGAGCATTCAATTTAGCAGAGCCAGGAAGGAAGCGATGTTTTAAAACAGATAAAAATTTCCCAGTGAGGCCTTTTGCTTGGTCTCTAAAAATTAACTGCTGAGCTGTTTCCCCAGTAACCTCTGTCATAGATTCCAACCCCCAGGGAGAAGGGAATGAAGAGGAGACCAGGAAAAGAGGAGAAACGGGTGGGGGGGGGGATAGTACATGCTGGGCAGTCAGTGAGATGTCAGCTTTGTCTCATGCTGGGAAGACAGTGTAGGTGACATGGTCAGGAGGTGTTACTAAAGATGGACCTAAGGGTGCAGGAAGCCATTTTGGATCTCTTTGCTCATTCTGGAAGTATTAAACCCACTCACTTGGAAGATCCCAGGGCCAAGAATTAGGGACAGTCCTTTATGATTCTCAATGTCTGAAACGTCATAGAGGGTCACAAGTCACAGAGCAGAGGAATGCTCCCTTCACCCTCATTCATGGCTGGAAAATCTATAGCCATCACTAGATAATGCCCCTCAGCTAAACAGTTCATTTTCCTCCATGGCAGGCATGAAGCCTTGATGGAATATTTAAGTTGGTGATGATGTGGATTGGGTAGGAGGCCACATTGATATGAAGGACCCCTCCTCGGCAGATGCCGCCTCATCATGCTAACACTTCCCATCAGCAGACAACAGTACGCACAGGAGCCTACAGTGGGAGTGCAGTTGTCCAGGGGATGCAAGCTTGGTCTGAAACAAGTCCGGCATGTTGGCTTGGAGACGCAGAGGCTCTGGGGTTGGACGGTGGGCTCTTTGAGAAGGAAACGGATGAGCTGTTTCAACAGTGATAAAGGAGGGGGCTTGGTCAGAGAATAATTTGATGAACATCATGTATTTATTAATAAAAGCTAAGTTAGTTTCATGAAAAGGAGCAATTGAATCTCTTCAGGCTACCCAATTTCACACCAGTGAGGCTGGCATATAGATTTCTATCCCAATAGGACCATTTCAAATTGCAGCCCTTTAAAACTCATACTGGGTAATGTTTTTAACCCATGTGCTAAGGCTCTGGTTGGGGAACCAGTGGTCTAAGTTGTATCGGTGCATTCCCTCTTCCATTATTTGTCTGGCATTTTTGAGTGAACAGACTTTAAACACCTGGAAGTCTGTTTTGCATTCTTTGATGGAAAACATGCAGACAGCCAAGGGGGAGGCATACAAGCTGGCAATTTGCACAATTAAATGCTTACAAACTTAACCCAATTGGCTTCATATGATGAAGTCTGGATGCATAAAGAAATAAAGAGATGAGAAGAGTCTGAATAGGATCTGAATGACAATGGACCAAGGTGCCTGTCCCTGCCAGCTGCAGGACAGATGTGCCTGATGCATGCCAGGTGTGCAAGGCAAAGGGTTAAAAAAGAAAAAAAGAACTTTGAGGACATGTGTTCCCTTGGGCCTTGTTTGTTACTTAAAAATTGTGAGGGTCATAAAACCAGCACACTGTACCCCATGATTACATTAATGTACAAGGCTATGATTTAATAAAAAGAAATTGTGAGGGTCTTTCCTTCTACTCAAAAACACTGCGCAAAGCAACTGGACAGGGGGTCTGGGCTTTGCTGTGAGGATGCATTCTGGTGCCTAAGTGTACAGAGGGGGGATGCAGAAAGCAGTTGTGCCCAGAAACCATAGCACCCAGCAGGGAGGAGGGAATGTGCTGAGGACTCACCCAGCAAAACGACCAGGGATACGGGTGATACTTGGGATGGGAGCCAAAGGACACACAAGACCCTTTGTGCACTGTTAGCTCTGAAGAATCTCCTGACAGCACAGAATCAATTCTCTTGGTAGAGGTAGATGCTGTGTGCACTATGCCCAGGTGCTTCTGTTAATATCTCTGTCCCCTCAATTCTGAAATGAGAATGAAGCTAATCTTTGAGCTGGCTGGCCTCTGACTCTGTGCTGGAAGCAGCTGCCCAGAGAGGTGAAGTGCTTGGGCCAAGGCCACACAGCTAGTCAGGGGCAGGGCTGGGGGAAGAGTGAAGGTGTCTTCTCCCCTCATGCTGCTGGCCACAAAGGATTTATAAAAAGGTGTGTGGAAAGCACTTCCTATGTGCAAAGTGCTATGTGATTTAGTTAGCCAGGACCTGCTTGGGTGGGACTGAAGAGCATAATTTAGGCCAAACAAGGACTTTAAAGGGGCGACCGGGAGGCATTTTCATGATGGTGATTTGCTGTGTTCTGATGCCTTATTGTCTTGCTACAGCTGGAAGGGAGGGGGTGAGGCGGGGTGGGGAAGTAAGGTGCCTTTCTGAAGACACTGCCACCAGGCTGCTGAGGCACATCTTTTGTGCGAAGAGAAACTGCCTATGCATTGTCTGGACCCAGCAAACTTGTTTGCTGTAAGGGAAGTTTGTCTCCGCCCCTCCCCTCCCTTGGAATTGTTTTGACCTCTGTTGCCCATGAGAAATTAGGAAAAATAAAAGCCAGATTCCTAAGAACCTTCCTGGGAGAAAGAGCTGTTATGAGTGGGTGTCGATGCTTACATACGCTGCTCTTTTTATAAAAAAAACCAAAAAACACAAAACGTTTTGTTTTGTTCACGTTTGTATGAAAACAACGCCGGATGCGAGCTGTCCCTTCAGAAGAAGGCCGGGTTGGTGTGCTCGATGACACAGCGCTTGCAGTGGCGCTTCACAAACCGCAGGGCCTCCACCGAGACCTCGCAGTCCTGGACGTTCAGCATCTGGAGGTCGGAGCAGTTGGCGGCCACGATCCGCAGGCCCTGGCCGGTGATGCTCTCGCAGGACTTAAGGCTGAGCCGCTTGAGATTGAAGCAGTTCAGGGCCAGACACTCCAGGCCCGTGTCGGATACCAAAGGGCACTTGCCGATGTCCAGAGACTTGAGTTTCGTGCAGTTCTTGGCGAGGTACTCCACGCCGTGGTCCGTGATGCCCTCGCAGCCCCGCGCGTTGAGGTAGCGCAGCTTGCTGCAGTACTTGGCCACGTAGCGGACGCCCACGTCGGTGACCCGGCCGCAGTGGGCGATGCTCAGGTACCGCAGGCGCGACTCCAGCTTGGCGATCTCCCGCAGGCCGAAGTCGCTGACGAAGCGGCAGTCGCTGACGCTCAGCTCCTTGATGGAGGTGCAGTAGATGACCAGGTACCGCAGGCCCTCGTCCGTCAGGCGCACGCAGCGGCGCAGGTACAGGTGTGTCAGCTGCGTGCAGTGCGCCGCGATGGTGTGCAGGCCCTCGTCCTCCAGCACGAAGCAGTCCGTCATGTCCAGGTAGCGGATGGAAATCTGTTTGCCATGCAAGGGGGACAGTTTAATGGAGGCCTCCCGGGTCAAGCTGATGCAGGTCACTTTGGAGCACCCTACACGGAGAGACAGAACACAGGCTCAGAGCAACCTGCGAGAAGAGGAACGCCACGCCCGATTCCTGCCCCTCCCACAAGCCCGGACTATGCTATTCCTCCATTTCTTGGCCTCGACAGAGAAGAAAACCAAGAATGGGGTTTCCCCGTCTTCATTGGAATATTTAATGACAGTAGGACCTCTGTAAGTTGACCACCCAAGAGACTGTAACGAAATACTTGACATACACAGGTGATCAACATAGGGAACTAGGCCTACTGTACTAATACCCACGTGGGTATGTCCCGTCTATGAAAATTAGGCCAGCTTAAAGAGGCCGTCAATACAGGGAGGTGGCCAACCACCAGGTAGTCTGCTGTATAATGTCTACTGTATTAAGGGGATTAGGGCATAGGCTTTAGAATGAGGAAGACCACGGTTGCAACTCGTGATCTATCACGGGTTACCTGGTTCTGGGCAAATCAATCCTTCTATTTCTTTTGTCTTAATATGTGAATTACTTTCCCTGCAATGTAGCTGTGAGGAAGAAATGAGAGGATGTGTGTAAATATCTTTCCCTGGCTCTGGAAAGTTCTGGGAGCCCACTAAAGGTTAGGTCCAGTCCTAAGAGAATCTGGTACAAAGAAGTGACATATGACAAGCAAAGCTTGGACATGACCTGGGTTTGGCAGAAAGAGCACAAGTTGGGAGTAACACCTGGTGCAGGTCTACTTTATATGGCCTCAGGCAGGAGGCTTAAGTTTTCTGCACAAGATTCTCCTCTGTAATATGGGAGTGCAGATCTGGAGCCTCCACACAGTGAGGAGACAATGAGATGATGGATATGAATTGACTTGGAAACTCTGTGGAAATGCATGCAGGTATTAGTCTAACAAAGCACCTGTCTGTGGATGTAGTTCAATCCCCTGTGGTCATCTGGATTATTACTCTAGCCCATCCACCTATCAGCCACAGAGGTTCTGGCAAATGGAACTCAAACCATGTCACTCTAAGCAAAACCTTAGAATGGAGCCTGTTCACTCAAAATGTGAAATATAGGGTCTACTGGGGCTTCCAAGGACCTGCACCCCTATGCTCTCACCTCACTTCTCCAGCCCCACTGTCCTGCTTCCCCTTCCCAGATACCTCCAGCACTCTCCAGCCCAGGGTGTGAGCACTGGAAGGGGCTTCCCCAGAGAGTCCCACGGCCTTTCCCCTACTTTCCTGGGTCTCTAGCCGGTATCAGCTTATTGGACAATTCTCTCCTTATAAACCATCATACTTGCTTCTCTCCCTGTATTTTCAGCACTCCGTATCCCTTGGTGCCATTATTTAGGTAAATGGGACAGCACTTGCTTGTTCGCTGTCTCCTAACTCAGGGATGTAAATTCCTGGGAACAGAGCTGTTCCCTGCTGTATCTCTCAGACTTGGTGCTATCTGTGGAATCAATGATTTACAGGGGGAGGAAAGAGGCTTCTATAGGGGGTCTAGATATGATGATCTAACTTGCAACATTTAAATGTCCTCAGGACTTTGAGTCTGGCTGAAGTACATCTACACTGAAAGACAGTTGTCTATTTTATAGTTAATTATTATGCCTTCATTTGTTTCGAACTACAAAGTTTACAATGGGCTTTTGTTAACTTTTGTACCAGTTCTTAGAAAGCTCTTTTTAACAGACAAGGCTATTAATGCTCAGGAAGGTATCTTTAGATGGATGCTGCTTTAAACATCTTTTGTAATGCCTTAAGAATGTGTGTATAAATTACATGTATATATGCCCTATATATTACAATTTTATGTTTACATATAATATATGAAACACTCATTTTATACCTCAGTTCTCTATATTTTACTTTATATAAATACATATAGTATATTTATAAAATAGAAATGTAATACCCAGTCAATATAGACTATATAAATACTTGTATATTTGTGTATATTTCATTCCACTGCATAACTGTATATCTGCTTTTCATTTTCTCGCTGCCCTTCTCCAGTCTCCAGCAGTTGTAAAGCTAGGTGCCTCTCTTTGGACACCTCCGTGCCTTGGTTGTTCAACGCAACGTCCAAGGCTTCTGAGTGGCAGCACAATACAGCAAATGAGGACTTTTCTCCCTCCTGGAAGGCTGCCCAGGAAACTCTTATCAAACTCGGGTCCTGGGAATAATGAGGTTCAAAGCCACATGCTACCCAGTCAAAGAATTTCAGGAAGGAGCAGCGTATACAACCCTACCCTGTAAAACAAAGATGCAGCTTGTCTGACGCTGCTCCTGCTCTGTGGTTTTGTGAAAGGGGGTTAGGTCCTGTTAGCTTCAAAATCTCCTTCTGTTTTGAGTTTCTTCTTCAGGCTGACTGTAATCCTGCTCATGCTGAATTTCTAGGTCTATGGTGGTAGTTGGCCATCTGTGACCCCTATGGAGACACTTTGTTTTTCAAGATTATACGATAACCTTTGTTCCTAAACTTTTGGTTTTAGTTCCTTTCTTTCCCCCTTTTCCTGCTACGCTCCAGAAAAGATATTATAACTGTTCCCAGGAAATACATATACCTTGTTCTTGAAACTGAATTCCAAATTTAATGTAATATTTATTTAGTTCAGTTTTGGTAAAGGGACAATTTCGATATGGTTGTATTATTTAGATCAATCATTTTGAATGTTAGGTTTAGCTCTGATTCTTGCAGATTTGCTAATTTTGGGTTGACAAGAAAAGAAATTGTTTGATGGCTCAGGAGATACGTATTTAGGGTCAGTTCATGTGTTCATACATCATAGACATGGAGAAAACCTTAGAAATCATCTACTTTAAACTTCATTTTTAAAAAATGAGGCATCATAGACTTAGCGAGTTACATGACTTGTATACCCAGACCAAAGTTTCTTGACTCCTGATCTGGGGCTTCAATGACAGGAGGGGAGGTAAGAAATGACCATGATGTATCAGAGAATTGATGAATTACACAGGGATTCACAGGAGGTGTGACAGCATGAAGTAAACATCAAGTCACTGGGAAATCAGAAGTCTTTTGTGGTTTCTAAGGGGATCCTCGAAAGAGAAAAACAATTTAAATACATAGATGGGGAGTAAAAAATAATTCAGGTACATAGACATAGAACTCAGGTAGTAAGACAAATTTGATAAAAAAGAAAGCAAAGAATTCCATGGGGATGTGAGGGGTGTCCATGGGGTGGAACGTAGAGTGTCTGAAAGGATCTAATGGGAACTAAGACAAGAATGGTCTGTTGGGATCATGATGGGGGCCGCCTTGACATCTAGGGTAAGGTGTATGAACGTATTCAGTAAGGAATAGACAACACAGGTTGAAAAAAATCTGTGGAATTCCTTCAGTTTATTCTAGAATTCATTCAGCTTTGGCAATATGTTCTTTATTATCACTTTCTCTGTCATTATTAGGGTGATATTTCTACCTTTTCTGGGACATAAAAGGCAATGGAGAACAAGTGTTACCTTCCGAACATGTTAGTAACAATGTCAATGCAATAATGATGACCACACTAACTATGATTTGTTAAGTGGCAACTGCATGGTGCTCAGCAGAGCACACATGTGATGACTTACCTCATTTAATTTTCCCAACCACCCCCTTTTTACTGATTAGGAAATTATACCTACTGCGTGACAGCTTCCTAAAGGCTTGTTTAGGGTATTAACCTATGAGAACTGTCAACTTTTTCAAGGTCAAGTTGACCATCATTCCCAAGTTGAGAACAGTGGTTCTCAACCTTTCTAATGCCATAGCCCTTTAATACAGTTCCTATGGGTCATGACTCAGAGGTTGAGAACCTCTGATCTAGGACTTTGATATTCTTCTGTTGACTTAATTACAATGCTCTACCGCGGAAAGATAAAATATGCCTCGTTTCTTCCCCTACACATTCTAAGCTCATGATGAGTGGAGAGAAATGAATCTGGAAATATGCAAATACTCAGTTGCAAGCCTCAGAGATGTTCTACCTGGTTATACTCACAGGGAAGATACCAGAAGGAAACCCTTAGTTTACTGGGAGTGAGGCAGGGCAGGCTGTATTCAGAGAACACTGGACTGGATCTTGAGTGATGAAAAGTCTGTCCTTGGGGAGCAGAAGAGGGCAGAGGGATAAGAAGAGTGGCATGTAAGCCACAGAGGTACCCACACATCCCTGTATGACAGGTGGGATGTGTTTGGGGACATGCAGATGGTTTTATAGAAGGGAACATGGGATGTACACAGGAAAATGGTGAGATCTGGGTCTGGGAAGGACCTTGGAGGCTCTGCTGAGAAACTTGAATTTTTTAAATAGGTCATTGGAACTGGAGATTTTATACAGGAAAATGGATGGTTAGACTTGTAGTTTGAAAAAATTCCTCTGGAGGTTGGTTGTGTGTGGGGTGGGTTGAGGGCATGGGTATAAAGAAAAGGTTAGTGAAGGGTGCAGTCAGGGAGAGAGTGAAGAGGGACTCAGGGTCCTGCGGAAGTAGAGACACCTGGATAGGATGCTACGGGGTGGACGTTAAAGATGAGAGAGAGAAACAGAGGTGACGTCAGGTCTCCAGTTAGAGAGCACACTCTGGAGCAATTCATTTGTAATAATTAAAATATTTTATATTTAAAAATGGATCATTTTCAATATATTCCATTGATGTTTCAAGATACTATTAATAAAAAGTAATATGTGATAATAACAAAAATCCTACCATTAATTGAAGTAATTATCAATGCCTTGAAAAGATAACTTTTAAGATGGGAGTTTTCTGCATTTATAGGGATGAGATAGGCAATCTTATACCTTCTGGGGGCAATTGCGCTCTAGACCAGTGATGAGTCTTCCAAAGTCGAGTTTACTGCCATCGAGAAGGTAGCTACTATCGGAGCTCAGCTGTAAAAACTAAAGAGTCTCAGACACAGTGAAATCAACTTTGGCAGCCCTTTGGCGTCTCTCTGTATCAACATAACAATTTTCAGATTCCTGCAACATTGGAGGGTACCCTTAGTAGGGGCTGAAGACAAATCCATCCTTATGGCCTGCTGAGTCTTTCAGGTCTATTTGCCAAAAATTTCTCCCATATATTGGATTTTGTGTTCTTAATTTGGTGCACTATGAATTCTCCTTGTTTTAGTCTCTGTGTACACAGAGCACTGGGGTCACTGGAATACAGGTAAGAAAGCTATACAAGTTAGCTTGAACCTGCAAGTTAGGCTGATATCAAGCTTAAAATGATTAGTCAATTAGCCAAGCAGGATCACTCTGGCTAGATTCAGTGGTTCTCAACCTTTTTAATGCCACGACCCTTTAATACGTACAGTTCCTCATGTTGTCGTGACCCCCAATCATAAAATTATTTTTGTTGCTACTTCATAACTGTAATTTTGCTACTGTTATGAATTATAATGTAAATATCGATATGCAGCATGTGTTTTCGATGGTCCAAAGGGGTCACAACCCACAGGTTGAGAACTGCTGGCTAGAAGCAAAGGACTATTCATTCCCAAATAGCCAGTGTGGCTCCTGCATTGCTAATTTCAGAAGGACTCAAGAGGAATGGATACGCTTACTTGCAATCTGTATCAGGGCGCAGGGGAAGCCCTTAAACAAAGATGGGGATTCCCAAAGTGAATCATTTTCTAATCTAAGAAGATAAAATGAGGTGTTTATAAAATGCTCAGACCATGAGAATGTGAAAGAACCCAGTGTTTTGCCCCTTTTCCCTCTTTTAACTGAAGAGGAAAGACATCTAGAAAAGCTATGAATTGTCCCAAATCACAAAGTTTTGAAACTTGTCAACCCCATCACAACGCTTTCTCTTTCCAGAATTCTTTGGAGGAGAAATGTAAGAAAACCTCCTCATTTCCTGCTTCTTTATGCCAACAGCTACTCATGACTAGCTGAACATATGGTTATTATGGTTTTGTCCTGAAGCCAGCTGAAGTAGAAGAGCAACGCCTTGCTTTCCAGGACGGGAAAGAATCTGCACAAAATAATGGGCTGTCATCTGAAATATTTTCAGATGTCGGCTTTTAAAGAGAGAGCAAGCTGCAAGAGCCGGCTTTACCTCAGATTTTGTTAGAGGGCATCATTTGCCTCAGATGCTTATAAATCCCAAATTCTGTTTATTTGCCCGTCACAGTGGGTTTCACTTCTTGACCCCTCCCCAGCAATCCCTGAGGTTGCAGCTCACACTGCTTATTTAAGTCCCTGATGCATCTTACACACCTCGGCCTCTCGGATGTTCATCTTTTGACTGGGCAGCGGATGAGATAAAGAAAGGCTATTAGTCTGCCTGGATCCACGTCTGGCGCCAAAGTGTGAGTCTGGGTTTTAATTCTTCCTGCCTGAGAGAGGTTTTCAGCAAAGCAGCCATGCTGGGATTGCCTTCCATTTTTAAAGGGCCTAAAGGTTGGGTTCAATGGCTCTTACCCTTGGCTATGTAATTGAGAATTTTGCCTAAGGTAAGATATAAAATTCACCCAGAGGTGAGGAGAGTGGGGGTGAAATCTAAGGAGACACTGCTCTAGGGTGGATTTCCCACGGTACCTACAAATCGTCCAGTGGTCCTGAGTGCAGCCCATGGCTGAGTATTTTATCACCCACGGTGGACACGGTCAGGCCAACAGCACAGAAACACAGAAGGTCGTTGTTACAGCTGAGACAGAAGGAAGACTCTAGGGGCCAATAACCAGTGAACACGCGGGTCACTTCTAAACTAACCGTGCTGGAGCGGGCCCTTCGCTTCCCATTTATCTAGTTAGATATTTGGTTTCCATTCCCTGAGGTTGCTCTGAAATAACTGTCAGAGTTATGGAGAGTAAGAGACACATTTAAAAGTCATACTAAACTGGTCTTCCAAGCAGAAGGTGCTAGAACTCCCCTAAGAGGTGGGCTTTACATGATACCAGGGTCTTGATTACTTAGAGTTTTTCTGCAAGAACCTCCCCACCATCTGCCTCCCTTCTCTTAAGATCGGCAGGAAGAGGACACCCTGGTGGGAGCAATGTCGCTACTGCTTCGGGACAGTGCCTGGGGAAGACCCCCGTCTAGCAGGTCCGTTTCCACTCACCTGACACGTCCAGGTGCTCCAGGTTGGGGCAGAGGGACACCACGTCGAAGACGGCCTCGTTGGAGATATTGTAACAGCCTGAAACCTCCAGGCGCCTCAGCTCGGGGCAGCACTGGGCGATGGTGTAAAGCCCTCGGTCTGTGAGCCGCCTGCAGCCACTGACAGTGACGGTTTCCAGCATGAGACAGACGTTGGGGGTGTCCTGGCAGAGCCTGCGGGTCAGCACCTTGAGGGCGCGGTCCACGTTGATGGTCTCGCCCGTCAGGCGGATAGTCCTCCAGAGACGCGGGTCCCAGGCCAGGTTGTACCAGCGGCGACACACGCGCGCGCAGCGGCACAGCTGGTTGGTGGGCAGGAAGGAGAAGACGTGCACCATGCACTGGTCGGGGAGCCGGTCCACGCTGGCCTGCTCCTTCTGCGGCCTGGAGGCCAGCCGAATGAGCGGGTGCGTGAGGCGGGTCGGGGGCGGGGAGTGGACCATGGCCACCGTCTCCCCGGTGATGGACGACGAGGAGGTGGACGAGCCCCTTCCATTCTGAAATCCTGGCAGGTTCGGTGGACATATCAGGGCTGGGCTGGGCGTGCTCAGTGTGCGCATGCTCAGGTCGGAGTCTGGCAAAGGACAGAGAACAAGGGGTTAAGGATGGTGGCCTCAGCGGAGTCCTGGGAAGGGAGGAACTCAGGGGGCAAACACTCTCCTTCTCTACTGATATTGTTCCTGGAGGACTCCTGTGAGGCCAGCCCCAGAGGAAGAAGCACTCGGAAGTGTCACCCAGGCCAGAAGCGGCTCATCTCCCAAGGTCAAACTGCAGTGTAACGGCCGCATAGTAAATATTGGAGGCTCTGCAGACCTACGAGCTCTGTCTCCTCTGCAATGACTTAACCCTGCCATTGTAGCCCAGAAGCTGCCACAAATAATAGGCAAAGAAATGGGTGTGGCTGTTTCAATAAAACGTGTTTTATAAAAAGCAGACCGGCTGGACACGTCCCTGTGCAGACAAAGCCCGGGGCTATAGCTTGCTGACCTCCATCTGCATCGGTGGTCACCATCTAAAGGGCATAGCTTCAAAGTTTCATTGTTTCTATTCTGGGGAGAAACCTCATATATTAAATACACACACGGATTTACTTTCCTGATTATATTTTGGTTAGATTGGGTAGTTATGTTGCATTTACAAAGGAGAGGAGTGATTTTCAGAAGAGGGGCAGACCAGAGACTCAGTGGAGCACATTTGCTGTTCTGTGCCCACACTCCCCCACCAGAATCCACTTGCTCTCTTTCCACGACAGGCCCAGCCTGGGGGAGGGGGCGCCTCCCAGCTCCCTCTGCCAGACCAGGCATTTCAGATGACATTTCCAGTCCTTGAATAACTGGGAAAATATATATACTTTTCTTTTTATTAACAACCTCACCTTTGCATTTGAATAATATGATTCATATTCTGTTCCTTAGAATAAGAAAGATCACTTGATAAGAATAGGACAATTTTTAAATTTAAGAGCTGTTAAGCATTCTTTTGAATATCTCTTCAAGATATATGCTCATCTCTCTCTGTCTCTCATATAAATGTGAGAAAAATTTAGTTGTTCTTTCTAAATACATTTGTATATTACATATTTGGATAGATTTATTTAGGAAATTTATTTTCTCTCTAAATGTAATCATATATTTTACACAGTTCACACACAGACACACATGCATACACCTACACACATATACAGGTGCTCTTCAATTTACAGTACGCTTATATCTCAATGGGTCAATTTACAATAAGACCCATTATAATTTGAAAATACTGTCAAGTTGAAAATGCTTTTAATACATCTAATCTACCAAATGTCATAGCCTTGTCTACCTAGTCTACCTTCAGTGTGCTCAGAATACTTAACATTAGCCTACAGTTGAGCAAACTCATCTATGACAAAGCTTACTGCATAATAAAGTGATGACTATCTCTTGTCGTATTGAATGCTGTACTAACAGTGAAACACAGAACAGTTGTACTCAAGGTGAAGTTTACACTGAATGTGTATCACTTTCACACCTTCATAAAGTCAAAAAATCATAGTAAAACCATTGTAAGTCAGGGACCACCTATAAAAAATACATATTTACATGTGATGACCATATATATATATAGAGAGAGAGAGAGAGAGAGAGAAAGGGAAAGAGAGAGAGGGGAGTGGGGGGAGAGAGCATTCAAGAGAGCAAAGGGAAAAAATTTATCTCCCAAATATGAATGTATTCATCTTTAAAATAAGTGACTTGAGGCAGACAATTTTTAAGTTATTTCCAGTTCTACTTACAGTTCTAAAGTCTTAAACAAAAGCTCCATCTTGGTGTGTGTTTCCGCATTTCATACTCTAGAAATTAATACCCATTATCATCTTTTCAAAGAACTTCCAAGTAAGAATTTCTAAGACCTGCACATCTCCACTGAATGTCTGTTTGTAGTTTTCTTTACAAAGCTAATTTTTTCTACTGCTGTAATTTTTCTTTTCAGTTACTTCTTTTTAACCAAACCCTGAAAATGGCTTATACATGTTCACACTTTGCTCATGGGACATCTTTGAGTTATTACCTGCTCCCTACTTCTGACGTCAGACTTGAAATACAAACTCCTTTCCTAAATGACTATAAACGCCGTCCCTTCTCAGACCATGTTTCTGGTGTCTTGGAGATAGGCTACGTTCCCTTCTGAAAACCCTACCTTTTGTTAGACAAGCATTGGTGAAATTATCTTTCCCCAGTGTGGTTGATTGTATTACTTTTCTCAATTTTGCATGCCTCTGTATACGGCTCTACCCTTTGCCATGTGACTTTAGAGTTTCTCCAGAGTAGACTATATTTCCTCAGTCCAAAAGCCATTTGTGCAGTTGGGTTTTGCCCCTTACTCACTCTTATACCATGGGCATGAGAAGAATATGCCTGGCTAGTTCCATGAAACAGGCAGAGCTGGTCCCAACCTTCTGCATCCAGATAAGCTCATCCAAGGCCAACTAGGTTCAACGAGTGACCAAATGAGCTACAGATCCATGAGTTAGAACAGCTAACTCTTTTAAGCCACAGTGTTTGGGGGTGACTTGTTACACAACATTACCATGGCAATAGATGACGGATATGCCTTCTATTACACTAAAAGCTCATTTGCGATGAGGATTAAATCCTTTTCTTATTTTTGTCCTGGCAGTACCTGACATGGTTTATGGTATATAATTGGTACACAACAAATGTCTTAAATTGAGTGGAATACTGTCTGGAAAGTAATTCTGGCTTGGCATGTACTTTTCTATCCAGGTGGAATACATGCTGCATTTTAAATCATTCACAACAAAAGAATTTCGTATTTCTCTCTTTTGTAATCAGTGAGAAAGAATCATAAATCCTGAATGAAAACCATAAATATGAATCAATTATAGATTTCAAAACTTTCATCTAAGCTACCACAGTACCAACCTCCATCCTTCTGCGCACTCAGAGAATTACCTCTGAAGTCAGGGTTTTTCTTTGGCAGGTGAACAACTTTTGGGGGGTGGGGAGGGAAAGGCACCTTAGGCTCTCAGCTCTGACATTTTAGCAGCCGAAACAGTTCTGAAATCCCTCTCCTGCCTGTCTGGGCTCTCTTGATATTGAAGGAGAAGACACTTAACAGCGCCCTGAGGAGACCTGGCTAGAGTGAGGCCCCTGAGAAATGAAAGGTGCTTACCCTGGGGGAGGAGGAGGGATTTGTAAAGCCTGTGTCTCTAACAGAGTCACTGTTCTTCACTCTTTCATCCTCCCAGCATGGAGGAATAGTGCCAACCCATCCCGATTGCCTAGTACTGGTGTAGCTTTAGCAAGGCTTTTCGGTTCTTTTCTTTCCCAATAACGATACCTGAATTTTAATGAAATGTACACTCAGAAAAAGATAGCAGCCTCCCACATCTGTGAAGAACAACCTCCCCGGGAAGGGGGGCATTCAGGAGCACCTTCACAGCGCTTGATGCAGAGCTTAGCGGCAGGACTCGCAGCAGTAATTGAAGATCGCTCTTCACTGCTCACAGAGCAGGGAGACGGGCAGGGGAGCTGAGACATTTCTGCCAAGAAAGATGGACGTGGCTTTGACCAGAACATACACCTGGACTCTCTGGTTCCTTCCTACTTTTTCTACAGTAGGTCAAGAACGTTAGAGAACGTTAGAAAAGGGACAGAGGGTCTTAGTTAAGTAAACAGTACCTGACAATTAAAAAAATAACACAGAATGCTGATTAACAACTAGAGGTAGGCATACCTAGAAGTTGTCACAAAGTATTTTGTCTCAATATTTTCCCTTAATGTACATATAAATAGATATGTATATTTAAATTTGGAAATACATTTAATGATTGCTAAAATATGCATGGATTTTTACAGAATATGTCTTACCCTTTTGATACTAGGAGCCACTTACAGCCACTATATATGATTTATGAAAACAGAAGAAGTTTTTTTTTCTTTTGGCAAGAGCTGGGTTTGAACCTGCCACCTCTGGCATATGGGACTGGTGTCCTACGCTTCTGAGCCACAGGTGCCACCCCAGAAGATTTTTGTATAAAACTGTTAACAGTGCCAGGCTATGCCTATATACCAGGAAAATAAAGCTTGGCCAACAGAGTTAAAGCAAGGACAATTTCCACCTTGTAAGTAGAGTATTTCATTTGCGTATAAGAATGCAGAAAGACCAAGTGTGTTTTTTGTACCTAAAGGACAAAGCGCCTCTGGTCCTTTTGGAGCTAAATGGACATTGATGACAACAGCTAATGTTTTTCTGAGAAAGCTTAGAAACAGGACCCCCGTGCCCAGATACTTCAACATATATTCAGAAATGAGAAGACAAAGATGAATACTAAGATAATAGAGGTAAAAGACAGCTGGGACCCTCTTCCTGGCCTTACAACATTGCAGAAGCAGAAAAAACGCTGGCTATATTTGAACTTACAGTATGGCTTTAGACTATTTCACAGGCATGAACATATTTTCATACCTAAATACCCAGTCCAAATAAATTCTAACCATCTAATGTTGTGGCAAAATCACTCTATTTATCTCAGCAGTCGTATGAAATCCACTGGACTAAAGCACAGGTTAACAATAACTCTGAGAAGATATTATTGCTAATTTTAACACATTGTGCCCTTGTAAACATGCTGTAGAGATTCGCCATTTGTGCTCCAGCTTTCTTTACTTTTTCCCTAGGCAAGGTGGTGAGACGCATGAACGGCATGTGGAAGAATTCCACACTGCCAGGGATTATTCTGAACAGGGGACATGGGATTTGCAGAAAATGCCAAACAAAATATAAAAGTCCAAAAGCTTCTATTGAGAATCAAATTAACTGCTGCTTGTATTGCGTGTCCTTGAATTATGAGAAATCTTTCTGGCGATTGAAAATGGGAATCATGATGAAACTGTAGCAGAGTTCCTCTAAAAGCCTCCCTTCCTGCTGCCCCTGTGGTACCGTGTCACCAGAAGGAGCAGGTGGCACACACAGCATCCTCAGCAAGGACCAGGCAAAGCTGTAAACATGGAAAGCTTTTGAACCTTTTATTTGAAGAAAAAAACATCTTCCCTGAAATATTAGGAAAAAGAATCC